ATTTTCTGTTTCATTTACATACCTGACATACAAGAGGAGAATACTTTAGTCTCTAGGAAAGGAGTAAAAACATGATAAGCCTACAACTGAACTCAACCAGCTAACTATGTTTGGTTTGGCCTGCATAATATTTAAAATGTGTTTTTATCTGAATGTCTTTTAGGTGGGAATGTGGACTCTTTCAAAACCCAACAATTCCAAATTGTCTTCTATCCAAGAAGACTTACCCATTCATATTACCTTCTTAATCTTTGTAAGCTTTTGGTTTGTGCTCCCTGTTCCAGGAATTTTCATCCCAGGCATAACATAGATAAAGGGTCTAGAAGAAATACTTGGTGTATTAGAATAAACCTGAGAGGACAGGCATCCCTCGCTGGAAATGTGAAGGCAGTGTGCCTGCTCTCTCCACTGGTGAGCATGGTTCTTCTGTCATAGGCAGTCCACTGCCATCTGTCCATCCTTTGCCCATCTTCCATTGAAACCTGCATGTGAATAAGAGTCCAATACTCAATCATGGGATAAATTACTACCTAAAAAATTTTTTTAAGCTGTGATATCCTATCCCAACATGGCTTCCTTTAAACCAAAAACAAACTTTCATTATATAAGAAGCACCGAGCAAAATGGGGTAATCAGACAACTTTATATTTCCCTGTATGGCCCTGGAAGATGAATGGTTAGCCAGAGACGGGTAAGATTCTTCAAGGGAGGAACAACCTAAGACAGGCACAGTCACAGGGGGGCCATCAGGTGAGAAATTGGGGATCAACAGAGGTGAGGCTTAGAACCTCACCCCCACTATTTTGAGAGAAATCTCTTGCATCCGTGGATGTTTCGTTGCCCTTGTCTAGCTTGGATTAATACTTAGTCTATAGGCACAGACCTGATCATCTACATTTGCCCTCTTACAGCACTAAATTATGTTTTCTACCTTTATCTTGCATCTACCTACCACTTCAGTATTTCATTAAAAAAATAAAAATTAAAAATAAGGGAGAAATGTGAAATTCACATATAAATCAAGTATAAAAATGAAATGGAAAAAAAAAAGAATAAAGAAAAACTGAAGGAATGAAACAGCAGCAGAATCACAGAACCCAAGAATGAACTAACAGTTACCAAAGGGAAAGAGAGTGGGGAGAATAGGAGGGAAGGGAGGGATAAGGGGGGGAAGAAGAAAGGGGCATTATAATTAGCATGTATAATGTGGGGGGGGCATGGGGAGGGCTGTGCAACACAGAGAAGACAAGTAGTGATTCTACAGCATCTTACTACGCTGATGGACAGTGACTGTAATGGGGTTTGTGGGGGGGACTTGGTGAAGGGGGGACCCTAGTAAACATAATGTTCTTCATGCAATTGTAGATTAATGTTAACAACGACAAAAAAATACACCCCACCCAACAGAACACAAGGCGGCGCTCCCAGCCTCCCCGTGGGCTGTCTGCAGAGGCGTGTGACACCCCAGAAGCAGAGGGAGTGGTGGGAGCCAGGGAACGGCACCGCCCACATCTAGGCCCTCCTGGCTCCCCATGACTCCAAGAGCTGCTACAATTTCTTCTCATATATTCCTTTTCTTTTGAAGTTGGCTAGTTTACATTTTTTATAAGGAGGATATACTATTTATAAAATGATAAAATAGTGAAGATATTTCAATTATGGGGGGGAAAGATATGCACCTTTACCTTAGAGTTCCTAGGAATTTAGATAAATAATAAATAGTGCTGAAATAAAAATGGTAAAAAAAAAATGGGGTAATCAGAAATCACCCCATATTTGAGCCCTGCTTGGTTTGTTTTTATACAGGCTTCTCTTTCTTAGTGCTTTTTCTTTCTTTTCGTTTCTTTTTTTACCTTGGTGAGGAAAAGTAGGAAACAAAAGGCCACTTTTGAGAAAGGAAAAGGAAGCTGGAGTTTCAGTGCAGCCTTTTAGAATGGTAGGACCAGAGAGAAGAGGCATTTCCTCTTAAGTCAAGCCCCTTGCTTTGTGGCAAATTGAACCAGAGAAGCATGCACCTGTGTGTTACTGACCTCAGAAACTTATTTCAGTGTCCTTCACCTTCACAGTCAAGATGTATTTGTACTGTTTGTCACCTAAAATTTTTCTGATTGTAACTCTGAGATATTTATTCTTTTAATTGTTCATGTCAAAGGTACCATTTGGTGATATGCTTTCAAACAGGTCAATTTCAAAGTTAATGTAAAATCTCCTTTATAAGGTTTCTTCTCCAAATTCTACAATCCCCTTCCACCTTCCTGTTGGCCTCTTTCTCATGTCTTGTTTTGAAATGCTCTCATTTATTGCTAACCTTTCTCTGATTTTTTTTTTCACCTAAATGATGGGAGCCCAGTTCAGATCTCTAGTTCTTTCTGCTTTAAGTTATAATTGATAACTTACAATTTCATTTTTGGAAAGGTTACTGATGCTACTAATCCCGCTAAGCTGGCTTTTCTAACAGTGGACTTGCTATGGAAGAACTGGGCTCACCAGTGGAGAGAGCAAACGTGCTGCCTTTGTAGTTTCAGCCAGGGATGCCTCTCCTCTCAACAGCCAGTTTCAAAAAACAGATGAATTTAAGGCTAGAGTTCAAAAGGTATGTTTTAGTACACAGCATAGAGGTGTGCCTCTCTTTAAGTAAATATGCTGCCTTAAAACCTGGCTTTATAGAATAGAAAGTAATTCTTTCAATTAAAAGGATTCACCAGTACTTTCTTTAAAAAAAAATAAGCTCTCCTCTGTACAAATACTCTTTTCATTAATACATCTTCATATGAATTAACATGCACTTGTATAATTTGGGACAGTAAGACAACTATTTGCAAACGGCAGCAATGTAAGAGCTGCCAGTTCTATAGAAAGTAACCATATGGCTTTGTGTCGTGTTATTCTACAATGCTCTTTTCTGCACCTTTCTCAATAAGTCTCTACCCAAAAACAAAACTTTTAAAGGGCTTCATTTCTATTATCCTCTAGCCTAAGTAAATAAACTCTTCCCCAAAGATAGTGAGTAAATAGAAAGGATATTAGCTCCTCAATTTAAAAAAGAAAAAAGTAAACATACTTATTCATCTCTCTTCCTGTTTAAGTTTCAAAATAAGTAAATCGATTTGGACTCTATTTTTTAAGATTACGTTTTTAACTAAAATAGACAAAGGGAGAACTTCCTTTATAATTCAAACAGTTCCTCGAATTTTAAGAGGTAAGCTGAACCCTGGGCTGCACTGTCATCGCAAAGATGCAAGTTAACACCCACAGCCCCTTTATAGCTGGGATTAAGGAACAATATTTTCTTGCCTCTGTGTGTGTGTGTGTGTGTGTGTGTGTGTGTGTGTGTGTGTGTGTGTGTGACAGAAGCAGAGAGACAAGTCAAAACTGAGAAAACAGTAACAGTGACTGGAATTCATAAACCTGAAAACCCAGAACCCCTTTGATCCCTAGAGTAGTGGAAAATCCATTTCACTTGCATTGTTACCCAGAAGTTAGAAATGGCAAAACAGAGGGAACTTAGTATCCCAGAAACATAGCAGGGTACAGCCTCAGGGGTACAGGAAGTGCTGGTTTGAGTAGGCTGCTCTTTTTTGCTGAAAAAAAAAACCCTCTTCCCATCTTCTCCCAGGGAACTAACTGCAGGAGATTCAGTGTTCCTCTCTGTACGCACCAATATATGCTTGTCTGGTAAACTCGGGAGTCTGTATTTCCAAAATGGGTGGCTTACTTCGCAGAATTTATGGGTCACTTTAAAGTTGTTGTTTTGTAACTATGGTCCAGGTCAAACTTTGGCTTTATTGTCATGTTCTGTATAGGTATGTTTTGCATCTTGAAAAAACTTGATTTGTCTGTAGGTAAATAGGCTTTATTTCATAGAATGAAAAAAAATTGTCAGCATCTTTAGTTAGTATGTAAGCTGGTTATTTTACAAAGAGGTTAAATCCTTATGTATTAGTGACTTTTTAAGTTGACTAATTCATATATTCAACAAATATTTTTTGATCATCTACCATCATTGTCATATCTAACATATTTGAAACCTGGAGCAGATCATTTTTTAGCTCCCCTTCTCTATACAATTAATTTTTTTTAACAAGAATCACAAAATGAAATGAACAATAATAACGGTCAGTAAAGAAACATTAGGGAAAAATTTTGTGTTATTGAACTGTGTGTATATGTAATTATGACATTAATAAATATCACAGTACAGTAAAGGAAAGAAGTAATTGATCATTTTTATTTAGATGAATGTATTTTTTTAATTTTAAAAATTTATGCCTATATATTGGTCTCTTGGTGAATAGTGATACTTTAGCTTATTAAATAACAAGAACAATTTTACAAGAATTAATTTGAATTTGAAAGATCTACTTAAATTCAGTGAAATATTTCAGGTATGAACTAAAATATGCACCCACCAGATGAAAATGTTACATTTTCCAGTGTGTACTCTGTTTCACTGTTTTAAATTTTAAACACAAATGAAATGTTAAATGATCACATAGAGAATAGAAATCACTCTGTATCTTAATCTGTACAATTACTTGCTATCACTTATTTTGAATCTACTGTTAAATTCAAGAATATGTAGTACCACAGGGGGCTGAGGTACAAACTGCTCCCAAAATGAGCTAGAACAGTTCTAAATTGTTGAAATGCCTGTATGTAGCCAAGTCTGCATGTCTCAAGAGCCTGCTATATAATTACGAATTCTCTGAGTTAACTTTTACATAGAATAAAAAGACATTTACGGATGCATAAGCAATACAGATGTGCTAATTTGAAGCTTTCATTAGTGAAAGTAATAGCAACAATCATTACAGAGTTTATATCAACAAAAAAATTTTGAGTAGGGAGGACTGTTCTCTCAACCGACATTGTTTAGAATTAAGAGAGTCATGGTGATAATAAAAAGCAAACCAACTCCTACTTGGCTTTTATTATTGTTTCTGAACACATTCCTTTATTGCCTGAACCAGGGAGGTGCTACTCCCCACTGCTCTACCCTTGGTGCACTGCTACTTACTATGTGCCAGGCATGCTGTCGGGTGTTAGCATGCCCTATTTGGCAGAACGGATGAACTCCTGTTCTCATGAAGCTTCCAGGTGAGTGGGAGAGATCAACAGAGAATAGTAAAAGAGTAAGAATTTACAAAATTTAAAGGGCTACGAAGAAAATCAACCAGATCCAGAGAGAGTAACACAAAGTCTGTTTAGGTAAAGTGGTAAAGGAAGGCTTATATTCTCGGTGCCTGATGAACATGGAGAGAGGAGTGTGAGTTGAGGTTGGAAGATAGGTAGACACTTGACCAGCTTTGATGAGTTTGCCTTTTATTCAAAGTGCAGAAAAAAAAATCCACTCACATTTTAAGCAATGGAATAACATATATTTATGTTTCTAAAAGATTACTCTGGCTGTTGTGTGAAGAACAGATTGAAATCTGGCAAGAACAGAAAATAAAGACCTGTTAGACTATTTCTAGTCCTGGAGAAAGATAATGGTGGCTTGGCCTGGAAAGGTGGCAACAATAATGGAAAGAATATTAAGGTATGTTTTCCGTATGAATGAATGAAAGTGGGGGGTAAGGTAAGAGAAATTTCAAGAATGACAAGCTCAGTTTCTGGCTTCTGTAACTAGGAGAATGATGGTGACTTTTACTTAACTGGGAACTTTGGCAGAGCAAAGGTTTCCTAATAATGACTTGATCCAACATGCATCTCTCCATGAACTTTTTAGATGTTTGTTTTTTTAATAGACTTTTTATAGCAGTTTTACATTCATAGAAAATTCAGTGGAAAATGCAAAGAATTCCCACATGCCTCCTGCCCCACCTCTCCCCCAAACATCTTCCACTATCAATATCCCGCACTCCAAACCAGAGGAGTATATTTGTGAAAATTAGTGAATCTGCATTCACACATCATTACCCAAATCCCTAGTTTACATTAGGGTTCACTCTTCTTGTACCTCCCATGGGTTTTGACTCATGCATAATGACAGGTATCCACCATTATAGTATCAAACAGAATAGTTTCATTACCTTAAAAATCTGGGCTCTGCCTATTCATCTCTCCTTCCTTAACCCTTGGTAACCACTGATTTTTTTTATTGTCTCCATTGTTTTGCTTTTTCCAGATGTCATAGAATTAAACAATATGTAGCCTTTTCAGATTGGTTTCTTTCACTTAGCAACATGCATTTAAGTTTCTTCTATGTCTTGGTGTGCCTTGATAGTTCCTTTCTTTTTAATACTGAATAATATTCTAGTATGAATATATCACAATTTAGTTATCCTTGGTTGACTTCTTGGTTGCTTCCAAGCCTTGACAGTTATGAACAAAGCTACTATAAACATACAAGTACAGGGTTTTGGGTAGTCATAAGTTTTCCGTTAATTTGGATAAATATGAAGGAGCACAATTTCTGGGTCACATTGTAGGGGTATATGTAATTTGTAAGAAGCTGCCAAATTATTACTCAAAGTGGCTGCACCATTTTGCATTTCCATCAGCAATGAATGTTGCTTCACAGCCCTGCCAGCATTTGGTGGTGTCAGTGTTCTGAATTTTCACTGTTCTAATAGTGGTATCTAATTGTTGTTTTAATTTGCAATTCCCTAATGACATATGATTTTGAACATTTTTCCATATGCTTATTTGCCATTGGTATATCTTCTCTGGTGTCCAGGTCTTTTGCTCATTTTTAGTCAGGTTATTTGTTTTCTTGTTGAGTTTTAAGAATTCTTTGTTTATTTTAGAAAGTAGTTCTTTATCATATATGTCTTTTATAAATATTTGTTCCCAGTTTGTAGCTTGCCTTCCCATTTTCTTGATTAGCTTTCAGTTTTGTCTCTTCAAACCACTGTTTCATGTAGGTGTAGGTTTCATTTTAATTCAAACATGGAAATTTTTATATTGTATAAGGCTTTTTCCCCTTTTTAAAAATGTATTTTATTATTACAAAAACAAATGTATTCCTAATGGAAAATTTGGGGAAAAAAACCACAATTAGAAAAAAAAGGAAGAGCCTATGAAAAACTCTGGCACCTGGAAGGCTAGTGAGTGGCCTTGGCAGTATCTGGAAACCACACCCTTGGCCTGGGCAAATTGACAATACATGTAAGAAGCCTAAAAAGGATACTCAGCCATTGACCCAACAATCCTTGTTTAGAAATGTATTCCAAGAAAATAACTGGACATGTGCCCAGAGAGTTGAATACAAAAAAAGTTGGGAAGAATCTTTATCAGTTTGCTAAGCTGCCATAACAAAGCACCACAGACTGGGTGGCTCAAAATAACAGAAATTTATCTCTCACAGTCCTGGAGGCTGAAATCCAAGATAAGGCATTAGCAGGATTGGTTTCTTCTTAAACTTCTCTCCTTAGCATGTAGATGGCTATCTTCTCCCCGTATCTTCATATAGTCATCTTTCTGCCTATGTCTGTGTCCAAATTTCCTCTTCTTAAAAGGACACCAGTCATAGTGGATTAAGGCCCACCCTAATTACCTCATTTTAAGTTAATTACCTCTTTAAATCCCAATTATTAAATACAATCACATTCTGAGATACCGCAGGTTAGTACTTTACCATAAAATTTTAGGAAGACATGATTCAGCTCATAACACAACTTAATCCAAGAATTGGGAATTAGTTAAATAAAGTATGATGCATTCATACAGAGGTACATCCATCTATTCTAGTTCATGTATGAATTTTTGATACTGTCATTAAAAATACATATGAAACATAGAAATACATATGTCATAGTATGAATTTCATGATGTATGTTGCTTAGTGAAAAGAACAGACTACATGATAATATGTGTGGCATGATTCTTGTTCTTTCTGTGTGTGAAATACACATACAAATGCACAGAAAAATGGTTCGAAGTTAATGGCAATTATATCTGGGGCATGAGATGGATAATTTTCCTGTGTGTTACTTCTATTTATGTGTTGCTGAACTGCACATTTAAATTTTTTCCACAATGTTCATGCAGTATTTTAAAAGAAGCCCACCCCCAGGATACAAACACCACACAAAAAGAAACAAGACGGACAAAATATAACCTTTGCTTAAGGCATGTTTTAGAGAGCAGTTTTCTAGTCCTATAGTTTTCCTTTAGTCATTTCTGTCTTCTTCCTGCTAAGGTGAGTTTAGTGGATATGAAAGCTTGCTCAGTGTTCTTTACTGTTTCTGTTTGCACCTATGTAGTAATGGCCTGCTCACTTAATGTGCAGTGAAGTGCTCAGTGTACTTTTATTCTTTTTTGGAGGCTATTTGGAAAGGTTTTAGCTTAATCATAAGACATTGCTGAAGTCAGTGACATTATGACTGAGTGATTCATGTCAGTTTAGGGTTTATGATCAGACAGTCTCTGAGCTCTATTTTCAAGTTTATAGAGAAATGTTTTTTAAATGGGATAGGTTCCCAAAAAGAGAGGCAGGTAAATATGTTCAGAGTCCTGACCTTGGTGATTTTTAGTTTAGGAGGCAGAAGGTGCCTATTCACATCTCATTCATTGGAGAATAAACTATATAACTTTCCTTCTAAAGTCTTATTTCTTCAGAGGCAGGGCGTACCACTCCGATTATTTTCTTCTAGGCCTGTCCCTCTTTCTTTTCCCTCTTTTCTGTGGCTTAGGTAATTTATGCACAAAATAGGTACTGTTTGAACAAAAGGACAACACCTAGTTAAGACATAATAAAGTAATTCAAGGTTATCTGTGTACATGACTCTGCATGTTGAGCTTTTGCTTTGCATGATGTACCTACATGGGCATTGAAATTGTTTGGTGAACTCAAGTGCAGCTACCTCCCCAGCTGTTACATGGTGCAGGGATGGATTTACCAGCACTAGTCCTGTAGAAGTAGGTAGTATACAACAATAGCAGAACTTCAGATATATTCTTTTATAATAGAGAGGGTATCTTGTATTAAGCACCTTGCTTACATCTATGACATGTCTTGAGAAGAGTACCTGTAGAATTGAGAATCCTCTGCAAAGACACACATTTCAGAGACCACTTCTTACCCAATTTCTCAAACAAAGATGCTTATATTTCTTTGTCCATTTTCAGAATAATGGGCATGCCCTCCAGATTCCTAGCATTTTGCTTTCATCTAGGATAAAATTTTGACAACAAATGAATGACTATTTACACCTATTATTTATGATACTCTCGGTGAACAGCTTTGATGTTACAGTGTCTGACCAACCATGCTCCTGGCCAGTGAGCGTGAGTGAGGAACACTCCTTGGGTGGATCAGCTTCTTGGGTGGACTGGTTCTTACAGTGACCAGTCAGCCCTTACTACTCTGTAATACTTGGGTGTCAGTGGAGATGTTAGAAGGGAAAAGAAACCAGGAAGTTGTCTACCAAGGTGCCTCTGGCAAAACACTCTGAAGAGACTGGATTTTGTTTGATCTTTGGTCAGACCTGGATAGTAATTAGATAAGAGATTATATGAATACAGTCTTATAGGTCCTTCTAAGCTGAAAACTCCTCAAGAGCGTGGGCCATGCCTTCTTTGTCTTGAGAGTCCTAGGCCTGGCATAGAGCAGGCACTTAATATCTTTTCAACTGAATTCATAGTCAACCACCTACTTGCTCTCCACCCTCATTTTGTATATTTTTTTTCTCTTGCTAGTCTGGGATATAATAAAATTCTATTAGTGTCATGAGGCTTGACTACTGACCTAAATTATTTAAAGTATTAGAGATGAAAGATGCCTTAGAAATAATTTATGATTAAAAAAATAATAATTTATGATAGAGTAATATAGGCATTTACCTATATAATGCCTGTGTAGGTATTACATAATACTAGAAACTGGCCTATGTAGGTATTACATAATACGGGAAACTGAGGCCCAGAGAGGTTAAAGGACTTTTCCAAGCTGGTTAGTGGCAGCGATGGAACCAGGAGAATCTGGGTCCTCTTAGCACTCAGTTTACTACTAAACACCCCTAAGCCAGTAAAAAGACTGCTTCTGCTTTAGATTATACTTTTTTTTCTCCCCTCCCTCCCTCCCTCCCTCCCTTCCTTCCTTCCTTCCTCCCTTCACATGATTTACATGAAACCCTTGGATATGAGATCAACGTGCTAATCAGAGAACCTGGAACTTTGTAGAGAAACCAGGGCTGTCACACTGTGGCCCAGGATGGTAAGGGTGGAACTTTATCTTCCTGAAAAGATATTGTGTTTACTCATGTTCTCTGGGCCTTAGTTGAATGTGAGAGCCTTGCCCAAGTGCAGTCACCTTCCTGCTCGGCAGACCCACCTTGTACGGGGGCATCAGGGAAGCTGAGCTCTCCTCTTGGCTCTGTCACTGTGACTCCTGTGGCCTTGGGGAAGTTGATTTTCCTCTCTGAGTTTCAGTTCCTTGTTTATAAAATATGAAACTTGGGCAACATGTGCTCTAAAATCCTATGATTCTACCTGTTTCCCTTCTGGCTTATGAATAATTAAAGTTTTTTTCTACCTTTAAAGTAAAAGCCACACCTAGGCCCTATGGACTTTTATCACACTTACATTTTTGTGTGA